TCACCTGGGCGCTTCTCACGGAGGCGCTGGCTCACCACCGTTTTATCGTGACAGAAAAATAAACATCTGAACAAAATCAATGGCTTGTAACACCAATCGCGACTTCCTGCGGTCTGCCTTCACTAGTCATGGCTTTAAATTTGCGACACTACGCCGCTCTAACTTGCCTCTTCTCAACGACGATTAAACACAGTCGTAGCCGTCTCATACAAACTAGTGTGTAATGACCCCCGACATACCGTCGCAAAATACTGCCTTGGACGCGATAAACGATCGACTTATTCTGTCTCCTTAATAAAACCACAGCCTTTTGCAGCTTCTGCCACCCGTGCTAAGATGATAGCGCTGAAAAGTATCCACGCCATAGACCCGGACAATCCCATGCCCTACCCCGACGCTATCATAGATTCATGCGCGCGCCAAAAGTACTTCTTCTGTATATACAAAGTAAGTTCATGGCTATATAGAACTCCGCTAGGAGAGAAATGTATGGCATCGAATGTATTCAAAATTACTTGATTCATGGCTCAAGTCTTTCTGGCTACCCAATGCTTAAAATAAGACTGTATCTTAAATCCAGGTCAAGGACTATATACTGCGCTATTATAGTCCTCAAGCTCCGGAGCTTTTACCACATAAATTTTACGCTACCAAAGTCATCGGGTTACACAAAAGCCTCAGTAGAACCTTCGACACTTTAATCAGCTTCTCCGTCACAAACCGCATGAATAATATATTTGCATCTGGCATTCTGAAGCCTCCGCATAATGTATACTCCATTCTCCATTCATTCGTACGATATACGTAGTACGTAATTGCACATCGCCGTGGAACATATCAGACCTTTCAGCGGCTTCGTAACGCTCGGAACATTGATATCAAGTAGTCGCAATTCTGTGTTGTGAGCCCTACCTTTTTTAAAGAGAGTCGCTCATTGAGTCCTATTTTCATCCATCACATAAATACGAGGTACAGCATAAGTTAGTTATTCCCCGTAGGCACATGCTTGCCTGGTCAGAATCGACGTTTTTTAGCGAGAATTCTGAGTTCGGCCATGTGTGCGGGACTGACCTTTTGTGCCTCTGAAAATGTACACAAGACTCAGATGCTCAGTACACCAGCATGTGCAAATGTCTACTGTACATCTTCTTGGGGGGCTGGTAATGTCGCGCTCAACGCGGTGCACAACCTCCGTGCTGTGAAAAATGGTTGAGTACACGAAATGACAGCTACTGGAGCGTATCAAAAGCGATGAAACTAATCCAGTTTGAGAAGAATTCGGGTGACTGCCGTACTGTCAGCACTACATTTGACAGTGCCTGAAGCATCATCCATATTATCCTACTCAGAGAAATCAAAGCAGTGGGGGGGTTCGCTATCTTATCGCGCTTCACACGGAAAGTCAATGACGTCACCCTGCTCTTAAAGCAGGGGCCATATGATTGTTCCGCAGTATCTGGTTTCCGGAACCAGGTCGATCTCATGACGCACACCTCGGTCCGAAGATAAGACCGACGGCGGGTCTTTGAAGACGACGTCTTAGGATTCCTTTTACGAAAGGATAATACGGATCCAAAGCGGTCCCTCTCTTTAAAAGTTTCACGTCTCATCAAGATGAGTGAGAACACGCACTCGGCGTCGTCCAGTACCCCACTCCCTGCTCCATCGGAGTCTTGATGTTATAAATAACATCCAACGAAGAGCTGCAATTTCCGCAGTCTTCGTCCAGTGGATAACGTATCATTCCACGCGCATCAGAAGAACCTTGCCCGGGATGCCTCAAACCTCATCTGACCATGCTACTCTTGGCATGCAGCAACTGCTTCGTAGCGTGAGCAGTGCTCAGTAGATTACGTGCCACTCCACGCGCATCAGACAGGCTTTGCTCAAGATGCCTTGGACCTCGTCCGACCATGCCACTCTTGGCATGCAGCAACAGCGTTGAAACGTGCGCAGTATCAGTGGATTACGTGCCACTCCACGCGCATCACAAGGGCCTCGCCTTTGATGCCTCGGGTCTCATCCGACCATGCCATTTTTGGCACGCAGCAACTGCTTCGTAACGTGAGCAGTGCTCAGCGAGTTACAGGCCAGTCCGCGTGCATCACAAGGGCCTCGGCCCTTAGCCGACCATGCCACGCTTGGTATGCAGCGACTGCTCTTATACTTGAGCTGCGCTCAGTGGGCTACGTGCCACCCCACGTTCAGCCCGCGAGCCACGCTCGGGATTCTTGTCCAATACACCTTCGGTGTTCGACAACTCGGATACTCCGATATCTAGCGCATTGAGCGTCCCGGCCCAGTGCTCGCGGCAATTGCACTTTTGCCTCATAGCAGTGGTAGGTTTATGACTGGGCGCTACGCGCACGTCTCCTGGTAGAGCTTTGGTCAAAGTCTTCGACCTCCAATCAATCCATGACTTGTGGTGTTCCCACCATGCCATGCCAAGGATAAGGTCATACCTTGCATCCATGTCTACGACTAGACAGCGTTTCACGCTATCAAAGTCAAGGAACTTGACTCCGAGGTTCACGGAGACCCTCGGCATAGTGACACAATTCTTCGTCGCTAATCGAACCCTGACGGTGTCACTCAACGCGCTTCCAGCGCTTCAGCATTCAGCTGACTTTATTCGATCGTGGAGCGTCGAGCATTATTGCTCGAATCGATAAAAATTCTCCATGCTTCTCAAAGCCCTTCACAGTCACTTTTGCGACCAGCAAACCCGGCTTGCACACACGTTCCGTGTTTAATAGCACAGACCTCTTCTGAGCTGGGCCCTGCTGCCCTCTACCTCTCTATGGCTCAACAGAACTCAGTTCTCCCCCACTAGGGCGCCCAGTGCCGAATAAGTGGTCTCGTTTTCCCGCGTCAAACCAGACTGGTTAGAAGCAGGACGTCGGTTCGACGAACCTTTACGCGCCTTGCGCAAGGGACAACCCTCCCGAAGGTGACTGGTATCTCCACAAACAAAACGCCGTCTGGTGTTTACACGCTGACCAGCAGCTCGGAGCTCTCCCACATCCTTCTCAGCATAGCTTAGATTCATTGGCTCAGGCCCGCTCGACGAACTTTGAGGGTGTGCATTCCAACCAAGTCGTGCCGACTTAAATTGAATTTGGCATTCTATGCCGCGCTCACCGCTTCTTCACAAGAAGACGAATGCACACGGAAGACTTCCATTCTGGCCACGCCAGTACGAAGGTCTTTGATTAAGATGGTCACTGCGACCGCCTCGGCCACAGGATCTGCTGCCATCCCAGCAATAAGATTTCTCAACTCTTGGACAACGTCCACCAAATCTTTTTGCCTTTTGAGCAGCAAGGAAACGCGATCTCACGCGTTATGCCTGATTAGGCGGCGAGAACACTCGCAGAAGCTGACGCTGTAGCTCCTTCCAGGAGAGGAACGCAGCCTCAACCAAAGCACCGCACGTTAGTGCCCACTCTCGCGCTCGACCCCCGAGCTTAAAGATAGCTAGCGCCACGCGCTGTCGCACGTTTTGGAGCATAATGGATGTCATAGCCATCTCAGCCTCCCTTATTCGGAGCAGAAGATTCTCTCCATCCTTACCCTCGAAGGTCTTAACGCTCACCATGAGCAGCCTGGGTCGAAAGAAATCATCCGTCGACGCTTACAGCAGAAGCTGTAAGTGCTCTAACAGAGCATTTTCGTAACTTGACAACGCCTCTAGGATCGCGCTTATGGCCTCAGGTCCTTGCGCAACGAGGTGCTCCAGGACCTCAGGGTCCCGCAGGGATATCAGCTTATTAAGTCCATCTTGTATGCCCTGGGGCAAATAGGAGTATTCCCACATCCTCACAACGGACCAGTCGTAACGGCTCAGGCGTAGGTTGACTACGCATGCTACCAAGTGCAGCGGGGCTGCCGTTGCTCTTTGCTTAGAGGGAGCTCAGCTAAGGTTACCGACCTTACGTTCTTTTCAGGACAGTACATGTGTAGCGAATTGCAATCTGCTACTTCCAAGTACTGAAGCCTTGCCAAGGCAAACGAACACTTCTGTTTAAAAACGAACTTGTGTTAGCTGCGGCAGAGCCGCCAATGTCTAAAACCATATGCTTCCCTAATTTGTATAGTAATACCAAATTAATACAGTAAAACCAAACTAATATAGTAATATGCACTACTACTGGCAATCCTTGTTGTGCTTGTTGTAGCCACATGTTGTGATTCCACTAACTGTGTAATACCCACCTATGTACGCGACTCGCACTTTCTGACAAAGACATGTGTAACCTCGTCCCAGTCGGTCTTCTCACGGCCATAGCGGCGTATCATGCGCCTCGTACACAATCTTGTGCTTTAAATTATTGTTGTGGGGAACGACAATCTCTTGGCTCGTCGCCATGTGCAACTTCATAATGAAGGTAACTATTCTCTAAGGCATAATGATGCATCACGACCAGGAAGCTTGTCATGGAGTTCCAAATCACTTGATGAGAAAGCTTTGATGATCAGATCACACGTTTATTCCCAACACATGCTCGACGTATCATACCGAATACATCGTTTTCGATACAGCACAATGCACAAAAGTGTCAACTACAGAAAAAGTATGTGTTATAGTCTAACTGCATAGAAATGTAATGTATACATACGTACGCAATAACATGATGCACGTTACCAACTGTAAACTTCGTACTATGACTTTTCTCTATCATTTCATCTATCCATTATAATATGTCTGTAACGTCTCGCATCCGTACACTTACTATAAGCCTCTGAAATATCTTTGGTCCGAGAAAGCACGCGAAAACTGCAAAATCGAAGCCATAAATGTAACGTTTGCTGTGATGAAGTTTCGAAATGATCCACAGAAAGATCTGTTTCTACAATACATTCTCCAAATTTATAATCATGACAGCTGGTACACCATCCGAGCCTTATCTGATACTGGTCTGGTATTGATAAATTCGCGAGGATCTGATAGCATTTTATAATCTTTATCTTACCTCATAGTCGACATTAACTTGTCAAGTATGGTCCGTATCGTTGCTGCGGTGCTGTCTGCGGCCTTTATGGCAGATTGTGTCATTGCAAAGAGCGCATTTCTTACTGCTGAGGCCCCAGACTATAACAACAAAGTGGTCGATAACCTTTTGGGTAATATCCACTCGGTTCGTGGAAAAGGCGAGGCCTATGCCGTCTTCGATTGGGACAACACGTGCATGTTTGGTGACATTTCGTACACGGCAGTATTTTATCAGGTAGACAATCTCGACTTTCGCTTTACACCTCAGCAGTTGAAACTCATGTTTTCACGAGGCTTGAACGCTAGTAATGGTGATACTTGTCTTTCTAATGGTATCCACTCGAAGCTTGGTGATGATGTATATGGCACCTCCGTGACTTTAGCTACAGCTTTGGCTGAGACAGTCAAGGACTATGAAGTGCTTTACAACGCCTATATCGCATCTAAGTATCATCTCGTCGCTACTGCTTCCGTTACAACCGTCACATTAAGAGAGATCAAAGGATCTCGTGAGTATCACAATTTTCGTGCAAAACTAGCCTTTCTACTGTTTGGACTTGAGGCTATGATTGGGACCAATGACCACTCTCTGTGTTCAATGACCGTCGCTGCGACGATCTTTCCACAACTGCTTCTTGGTATGACAAAAAGTGAGATTCAGACTTTGATTCGCTCTAGTATCCGCTGGAATCTAGGTCAAGCACTTGAAACCCCTACCTACACTTCAACAGGACATCTACAAGTTCAGGGTTCGTATACCAAAGGTTTGCGCTTCTTTTCCGGTCAAGAATCAACTATGCGGGCGCTTCGAACTGCAGGTGTTGACGTATATATCATCAGTGCGTCTCCTCAGCTCTTTGCTGCTGAAGCCGGTAATTTGTTTGGATTGGGCAATACGGTGCCAAATGACAACGTCTACGGTGTTCGCTTTAAATTTGACGCGGCGGGGCTGTTTACGGGTAAACTTGTTGATCATTATCCGATAACTTGGGGTCCTGGCAAGGCGACAATTGTCAAGAGCATTTTAAAGCCAATGCATTACGGGGCTCCTCCCATTTACTCCTCGGGTGACTCGGATGGTGATTGTGAAATGATGGATATGGTTCGAGATGGCGTCGTCGATACTAATAATCGTTTAAATGGCAACACATCTTGCATCCATCGCTTCTACGTCAAGGCATGTAAATACTTTGGTACAACGGAGCCAAGAACGAATAATGTGTACCTATTGCAGGGTCAGGACCAAGTCATTGGCACATGGATCACTTCGGGATTCAGTACAAAAGATGGTATCACGTACGAATCAGGTGTAAGCTCGTACGATCATTGTAAACACTATCAGTTCCTGCACCTATAAGAATCTGAAGACATGCTTTCGAATTACAATGAACACTTAGAACTATATTTGAAACAGATGAAAACCGTAGTTTACAATATCAGTCATTTGCTATGGACTTCTCCAGGTTTGTAACTTGTTTCAGTTAATCGCACTTGGGGTGTATCCGCTCCATGAGTACTCTTTGAGGAAGCTACCGTTGGAATCCTAATATCATGCGCCGGCGTTTTCTTCAATGAGCCATAAAGAGCCCGTAGAGTTATGACATCACCAGCACTAAAAACAGCACGTGTTCCAATCTCAGCATCTCGACTTGAATTGCAATGCTGCTCAACAGGTTGGATGCAGTTTCTGACATTCTCCACATCACAAAAAACTTTCATTGGATAATAAGCCTTTGGAAAGCAAAGACCTGCTGTGCGACCGTAATGCATGATAGATTTTGGGTCGTACGGCTTAAATGTGGCCTCTTGATCGTTTTTTTTGGCATAATTTTCAGCTGAAACTGGCAAATTTTGATCTGTCAGAATAATCACCTCTCGATTTGGATGTGTATGTTCATGGTATAGTCCCATAGCGTGGCCAATCTCATGGATGACGTTACCAGGGCCACCTTCAAAACAAGTTTCACCAAGGTTCATGATTTGTGGTTTTCCATCATTTACGTACCCTACCATACCATAGCACGCGTCTTCGTTCTGTTCAATGCTCACATACTTACCTCTGCATTTTGTAATTGGATCACATTCTTGCAAAGACACATTAACGTCGACTCTTCTGTAAAATTCCACGGCCGTATTGATCACCTCGAGTTCGTAAGCGGAAAACGAACCGCTTATTCGATACCACACAATATGATCCGGCCAAATATCTTCTTGAAGAATAATTGCGACGCCTAGTCGCCGACGATGTAATGCTTCTGAGCATTTGACTTCTCGATTGTTGATCCACTGCGGTGCATCCACCAATCCACGGTCTTCAAAGCAAGTTGGGACTCCGTTCTCACACCGTGCAAATATGCTACCCGGTCGATGAGTCTGTCCTATTAAGTACGTAGCACTTCCATGCTCAATCTGAATGCCGTCGAGATCACACGCAGCCGGTCGTGCCCTCAGACGAGAGACCAAGGACAGCAGTAGCAACGCTAAGAGCATTAAAGTGAAAGTGAATAAAGGGTGGACTGGCTACTCGATCATGATTGGTTTAAATTATATCAATCTTGAAACACAGATGTTTGGTGCTCTTATTTCAGTACGATAATAACCTCAGTCGTTCCAAAAGTCGGTGGAATGGAAGGCAATTTAGGCGTCTTGTACATCTGTGGTGAACATACAGGAGGTAGATTTACAATTGTAGACAATTTATTAGGACGCAAAGTGCGACGAATCTGTGGTGCATACGATCGGATCGTTGTGTTGGTTGATGCTTGGGAACCTGTCTGGCTTTTTCAAGATAAAGACACGAAAGCAGCTGTTTACAGAAACAGTGAGCTTGACATTCAGACATTACAGGATGTCAAATTTCAACAAATAGCCGTTGGGAAGAATCACAACGTTGCACTGTCGTTGGATGGTCAGCTTTTCTCATGGGGTCAATGTGGTACGACATTGAAATGGAGTGAACTTGGTCACCATCATGGTTTTGTTAAGACGCTTGGCCCTGAAATTGATGACAAAACTGCTGCGACTGCTCCACATTGTGTAATCACTGCACCTAAACTAGTATTTCGTCAGGTTGTTTGTGGTGAAGATCATTCGGCTGCTGTCACAGATACTGGCGATTTGTACACTTGGGGTCGAAATTTTGAAGGACAGCTTGGTCATGTGTTCAAAAGTCTTTCAAAAGAAACGAATGGAATGATTAATAGCATTTGTGCGTGGCCAAAATATGTTAAATTTTTCTATAACAAGCCTCGCGTTGTTACTGTATGTTGTGGCAATACGTTCACTGCAGTTCTACTTGCTGACGGTAGGATTTATCTTCTAGGTGGTAAATCACTTCGATTGAATTCAATTGATATGGTTCAAAGTACAGATCCGTACATTTTGTTACGAGCAAGCGGATCAAATAATGAACATTTTGTTGATTTAGCAAGCGGTACGGATCATATTATAGCCGTCACAAATGCTGGAGAAATGTTTTCTTGGGGATTTAACTTTTTTGGTCAACTTGGTCAAGGTGACTGTTTTAGAAACGAGAAATTCAAAGACAAAAGTGATAACATTGTCGCCAGTAACAAGTCGATCAAATGGGCAAAAGTATTTGCTGGTGGGAGCTACTCGGCAGCTCTCACAACGAAGAATCAACTATACACGTGGGGCAATGGTCGGTATGGAAAGTTAGGCCATGGAGTAAATAGTGAAAGTCCTAGCAGATACAACTGCGAATTTGCTCCTCGCTGTGTCGAACATTTGCACAATGCAGTAGTTACTTCCGTGCTGTGTGAAGATCGCAACTTGTGCGTTTTTGCTCCGACTACTATCTCTAACATCTCGCCAACCTGCGGTGATTACGCAGGGGGGTATGAACTGAAGGTACGTGGAAGCGGTTTCTGGTCAAGTGAGAATGTCACAGTGCGATTCCTACCGCTGACGGATGGTCAATTACTGCGTGGTACTCTCGGGGAGTTTTGTGAGACGACTGGTGAAGTAGTTTGCCAAGTACCAACATTTCGTCTCATGGGGGAGTATGTAGTCGAAGTAGCAATGGATGGAAAGAATTTTACGTCGAATGGTAGAGTTTTTACTGTATTCAAGCGACCCCAAATTGTTGCTGTGTCAGCGTTTGACGCTCAAGCGATAGGTGGAGAAGAACTTACATTGTCACTTTGTGGTCATCTCCCATTGATCTGTCAGCGTCCGATTGTTCGATTTATGCGTTGTTGTGTCGATAAATACAGTGATCAGCTTGTCACTTCAGAGTCTGAAGTTTCAATTGGGGTTTTCGACAACTGTTTGGACACTGGAGAAGATGATCTTTCTGATGTGACCGACAGACAATTACGGCTCACGTTACCTCCTCTTCCCTTTAATGATGAAAGAGTTGTGCCTTACACGCTCGAGATCTCGTACGATGAAGGAGTGATATTTACACCAGTGTGTATAGATCCGACACTTCCAACAAAGCGTCATATAATATACGTACATACAGCTCAACTTGTTCGTGTGATTCCCAACTCATTTCTCATTGATGATTTGCCCCACACAATCACCTTGGAATTGTCAACTGTCTTTCCGCCCGAAGCCATACAGCTTTTGGTGACGATCGAGTATCATGTACCAAATATAAAAGACGAGAACAACAATACTGATTCTCTCAATCAGATACCACAAGTATCAGCTACTCTTTCTATAGACAAAGTATCTGGGAACTTTGTGACTTGCACGATACCACCTCTTCCTGAGTGGAATATCACACCAGCTGTTGCGAAAGCGCAGCATTTATCAGCTGATTGGTGGAAGAAATATGCAGAGACGGGGTTTGTCTTTCATGTACAAGTTTCTATGAATGCAGGACGAACGTTCTTACTTCCTCACAAACAGATGGGAAAGAAGGTGTTTGGTATGCCAGCTCCTGGTCGTTTACTTAGTATCTTTCCAAATGTTGGAATAATACGAGGTGGGACACAAGTCTCTATAAACGGGAACTTTTTCCATTTTGATACTCAAGATGCGACTGTTAAGCTTAAGTGGAAGGATCATTGCGTGGTGCTACCAGCCAACTGCTTGCAGTCAGAAGAACTAACTTCTCGACGGGTACTCTTCCGAACGCCACCTTTTCCGTTTTATAATGATAAGGATTCTACTGCTGATGCTACTGAAGATATGACGTTTGAATTGAAAGAAGAAGTAGAGGTGTTTGTAGCTTTGGACGGCGAGCATTACACGGACGCAAGTTTACCATTTACGTACTGCGCAATTCCAGAGATATGTGGAATTACACCTCAAGAGGCAGAACCTGGTATGCAAGTAGTACTTCAGGTAAAAAATTTGATTGCGACATCGTCGGCATGCGTGAAACTGGACTCGGCTTCGTCAAAGACCTCAAGGGTATGCTTGGAATAGATATTTATTTTGTTTGATTCCTAATTTAATGCGTGAATGGACACAGGTTGTACCCGTGAAAATTGACGGAGCAGCTCAGGCGGCAGAGTTTGTGCTTCCAGAGTTGTCACTTGAATGTGGAGAACTCGTGCGTGTTCTATTATCGCTTGATGGCCAAGAGTTTTACGATGGAAACACAAACACAGCACCGACTCCAATTGCAGGAGGAATCACTTTTCGCTACAAAGTCCAAGTAAACGAGCTATCTACGATCTAGATAAAAAACATGACATATATCAATTTGATTTGATAGATTAAGTATATCGACGAAATGATGATGACTTTAATGTCACGTATCCTGGTAATGGATGGATCGAGGATTCGAGTAACTAGTGACGCTAGTAAAGTTATACGACTGGTAAACTGGTGACTTCGTGTTTCTTAGACAATATTCTCAACTTCTTTTGAACATATTTTACTGAATGATAAACCTAAAGACAATTTTATCTAAAATGAGGCAGAACAAATATCGTAAACTTAGCCAGAGCGCAGTGCTCATAGAACAAAACGCTAGTAGGGCATGAGCTGTTTCCTCTTGAAAGCTATTATAACGAGTGGATTTACGGTTTCTTAAAGTTGAACTCTTAGAATTACAAAGCTCGGATCATATCTTGTTGATGAGTGTATCTATTCTTTCCTTGATGGATTAAGTAGTCGACATAGCACTAGACCCATAAGGCTGTAAAAAATCAGTAGAAATCACGATGTTTTTCATATTAGGAAGACTGCCTTGCTCGCCGAGAGCACGTAACCCGTTTTCTTTCGGGTTACTGCGTCATTCTCAAAAAGATCAAAACCGCCGATCTTGAGTCAGCATCAAGACAAAAAGACAAGACTACCAAGGTCCATGCACCTGCGTAGCTCCTAGTTTTCACTCCGTTACTGTGCTTAAACTCGAGAATTACAAGAAATAGCAAAGACTTTTTACACCAGGGTGTCCATGTGATCCTTAGAGGTATCAATGTATGAGATAGAATCGATTGGTGAAGCATATGAACAGGAATTCCAGATGTTCATTTTTACAATCGATGAATCGCGAGCAGACATCTCCAAAATCTTGACCTTGACAATATAATGATCACCAAAGTGGCGAGCTATTCCCTTTGAAATATTGCCATCTTGGTTTTGTTCGAGGATTTGTGCTTGTAGAATAAGTGCACAAACAACAACTTTTTATTAGTGTAAGCATTGTGTAAGGTTTGAATTTTCTGTGATATATTCCTTTGAAAAGTTTATTACTATTTAGATTTGTGATTACAAGAATAAACAATGAAATAGGCATGTTTATCTTGCTTCTACCTAAATCTTTTCCCAAACTCACGAATCAGAAAACATAATTCCTGACTTATCATGATTTCTGTCAAGACTCCTATTCAATAATATTTTGAATGTGCCCATCGCAAAGAGCTACAACATAGCATACAATTTGACATCTGCACCAACTTCTAAAGACTGAAATGCTGCGAGCTTTCGACGTTGCGTCGTGAGAAAATTTCAAATCAAATCCCAAGAATGAAGCACACGAAATGTAATGCCCTTTGTCTTCCATAATAAGCTTCCCGATCTCACGGAATTTTCCTACCTCATTACAGCATAAACTAACTCTTGAATCAGCTTGTTAATTACCACGTGTGCACTTACCAATATGAAGACTAGTTTTGCATCCTCATTGATGTGTGGTGCTCTCATCCTCTCTTCCGTGTCAGCTGGAGGAGACTTTCAAATGGATGGTGGCGAGTCAAGCGTAAATGACGCATACCTAAGCTCAATGGACCCAGCCCCAACCACCTATGAGTATGTTGGGACTTTAGGGAACACTATAGCAGCCGCGACAGAGACTGAAGCTACAACGAGTGGTGCACCCGTGACAATGTCTGCAGACCTTAAAAAAACATTTGGCATTGATCACGGAGCAATTGAAACTCCTCCTAGTGAACAAACCGGTTTGTCCATCGACTTTAAGTGGGTGCCAGACGTCCCTTCGACGGTTCCAGGATCAAAATCAAATGAAGATCCAACATTATCAAAAGAAGAGCCAATGTGGAATTCTGTGCCGTCAAGCGAGTCGCCAAGTTATTCATATCCTGCTATTCCATTAGAACAGGTCTCATCCACAATCTCTCCACCACCAAGCTATGAAACAAACAGTGGCTCTCCCAATCCCTCCACATATTATGAAGACCCATCGATTTCTCCATCACCTTCAGTAGCCAACTGCAAGGTTCGTCGAACGAGGCGCTAAGCAGAAAGTAAGATGTACAAGTTGTTGCGTCCAGTGTTATATCAACGACCACCTTTTTGTCTGCTAACTTTAGAAGAGTTAAGTAAATGGAATTCCAAATTTTGTCAAATGTGATCTAACTCCCTTTTTTATTTTTTACCTTTCTTGGTCCTTCGTAACAAATGTCCATTATTTGACAATTTAGATAAAAGACTGCACTTTTTCAACAAATTCAGCAGCAGATTGGACCTGAACACCTTGTTGGGCCATACTCTCCACCATTATTGAGTCCTCTTTCATACTTTTTTCAAACAAAAAAAGCGCTTCTTTTATCACAGTGACTTGGTATCCTCTGTCGACTGCACTCTGAACACAAGCCTCGATACTATTAAGTACTGAAAGCCCCATGACCACAACGTGGGTTACCATCAAGTTTCGCAAAATATAGTCGAGATTTGTGGCAGTAAATACACTAGAAAGCAAAAGTGATAGTCAAATGCAAGCCAATAGAAACAACAAAAGATTCCTTACTTGATCCCTGTGCGGGGTAACACCATGTCACTATCTTGAGGTGCAATCTGAAAAGGCACTTGCGCCCCAAAACCATGTTTTGGCACATGAATCCCAGCATGTTTATGAGCTAGCGATCTCTCGCGACCATCGTGGGTTGCGTTCTCTACAATTGAATAAAAGACTTCCATGCCCCCAACTGAGCGACTAGCGAGAAGTACATCTTGTAAAGTCGGAAGTAAGACATTATCAACGCGGTCGTAAAAGTCCTTAACGCGGGGGAAATACTCTGTCCTCGTGTCTTGTCGTGTACGTCCGTAACCCTGCGGTAACACAAAGTAATTTTGCACATCCAGTACCAGCACTGCTGTTGTCATTGGACTCCAAGGCTGCATAACCAAAGAATTTGCAGTAAACTCGTTTTCTTCATTTTCATGATTCCATGTTTGGCTTGAATCGTGTCCATTCTCGCATATTGAGTTACAGTGAGCTGCACAAGTTGAAATGCTTGAGATTGAGGACGATTCAGACGTGCAAGAGCTGACTTCATTTTCGGAAAATAAACTTCCGGAGTTTTGTATAGTCAGGGTACCCAGACGGTTACGCAGTAAAGTTATTGCTTCTTGTTGCTGTTGCTCACGTTGTTGCTTGCACATTAAA